AAGTGTAAACACCCTATGAGATTTCAATAGCGAAGTCTTTGCAAGTTTTCCCCATAATACAAATGTGAATTTGTTAGTGACACAGTAACTCTCATTGATTCGTCTATTATCACGATAACTGCCAACTTACCCACAAAATTTGGCGAGGAGCTAGACTGTTTTTCAAGCGATCCAGATATATTTGTCTGCACACAGATTTGTTCCCAATAGCCCTATAGATTGAAATCGAAATTCACCACAGGGTCGATTGTTCATGGATAGAATAAAGTTTTATATTAAAATATTCTGTTTTCAGACAGAATTTAGTTTAAAACCAACTGGCAGTCGCTGACCAAAATCATCAGATCCCTTCCATTCATCCGTTCGACTCCCAATTGATTACGCAGCTCATCAATCGTTTTTTCTAATGGTTAAAATCGCAGACTCCACCTTCATTTCTATAAAATGTCAGCAATATACTGCATGTAACCCTTGTTCAGTTTATGAAAACAAACATCTCGAATCGTATGCTGGGTTTCCTCAAGACTGTTATCTAGCACCGAACATTGTACCCATAAAGCCTCTCCAAACCATATCTATTGGTGACATTCAATCCAAATTTGAACTTCTTTCTTCTCAGTTTTAAGAATGACAATAAATCCTACCTCATGCGCACTTAAGTATACCCTTCACTCACTACCGATAGAATAGCAAACTGCTCATCACAATGACCTGGAGTATTCCGAATAGAAAGTTCTGACACTCCTTCAATCGAAATTTCGCATCTATCTCTTTTTTCCACTGCACCGTGCATCACGGAACACGCTGACAATTCCCTCATTAGGGATTTTGACTTCACTGTGTAAATTTTGAGTCATAAAGAAATCCCCATATATTGAACTATACGGAAAAACTAATTAGAGTAATCAACAAATAGTAACCTGTTCTGAATTCCCATAACATTCTCGACACTCACTGATCAAACGGGAATCGATTGAAGAGAACGGGACAGTCTGCATTATTTTTAGTCGTGTGCGCAAGCATTGTGAGAACAATGCGTACTGACTACATTGTTGTTAGCTAAATTCTGGAGCTGTTTATAGAGAACTTTTTGGAATGATGGAGAATACCGAGTGGATAACGATCGCGCCTTGTCACATTGAAATGCGTAGGAGTCGAGGTTCGGCGTGCGTCCTGTATCTCCTTCTAGAATAACATCGGCCACATTCTCTCTGGCTAAAGATAGTTGGTGAGACCTGGAAATCATTCTTTTTATTGGCACGTGCCTTAATGATGCGATCAATCGCTATCGGATAAGCTCACATTACTGATCCTTCTAATCCGGTTCACTCTATTTTACCGCTCGAGGTCAACATCCTATATCTAAGTCTGGCCGACTACAAAAGCACAGTTGCCATATTTGATCCATGTAAAAGGAATTCGTTTGACTATTGCCCTGCTGGCTCATGAGCACGTGTGGAACCATTTCCTTGCACACCGACTAGTCTGTGTTCACTGAATACGTATCCCTCGGTCCATTGAAGCTCGATACTCAGATTTTCAATTTGTACATGGCACACCTACGTGTCCAGTAATTAGAGATTGCTTTTATAATCAACGCTATCAACCTTATTCATTCTACCGACTTACCAACAAGTACAAGTTGACGTTTTGGGTATTAATTTGTTGGCCTATTAACCCGGGTGCGATCTTCGTTTCCATTTTCCGGGATACATGAGAAAGGGTGGGACAAACCTTAATTGCTTCTTACTAGGCGAATTCAATCAGAATCACACAGTGGAAACCACAAACAGAAGTACAACAAGCACATGCACTGAACACACAAAAGGATGGATTAAAAATCTCTATCTCAGCTAACAAAGTCCTGCTAAATCTGGACTTATCGATTTGCTGTGCATTGTAGGGCTATTAAACAGTCTGAATTGCGCTTTTGACATCAACGGTCGGACAGCGAAAAAAACGCAGGCACGCTCGCAGTCCAACAGACTACTGGATCATCTTTGCTTCCTACGTATACTTTATTCAATCCAATTCAACAATGAATCCGACATTCTGTGAGTTCCATCTGACGTGTTCATCTCATTTGTTCTGTGGTTTAAACTCATTTAGAAATAGTTGGAAGCTTTGGGCCATCCCATTAACCTTCTTGTTTGGCTATCTACTTTTATATAACGGTACGCAATAAACCAAGGGAGAGCATATCTTGGGAACTTCCTATTAGCAATGCTAAAGTACACCATTTATATAAAACGGCATCCGACATACAGCTGTATGCGGTAGTTGTCTGATTGCCGTGACTGTTTTCCATAATTTCTGTTCAGGCAGCGTTTACGACTTGAAATTGTGTAAGTGCCTTCCCATGCTCAAACCGTAAGCAACCACCCAACTATTTTATCCACTGTGGCACGCATGAGGTGATGCGAATAGAAAATGGGCAAAGGAATGAGTCGGTGGTTAGTCAGTAGTTCATAAACCCGTGGCAGCAAATCAGCCCTGGTTTAGGCGATTCTTGAGAATAGAAACAGTCAGTTGAGGGAGGACTACATACTAACAAGAACCTTACGAGCACGAATTACACATCCTGAATGTGACATTACAACCACTTCAAATTTCCAGACCGAAGGGTGTTGTTAGGGAAAGGAGAACTTGATCGTTTAGTCACCAAAATGGTAATGTCTGTATTTATAGTGAACTACAGAGAGAGAGAGAATGAGATAGAGAGCAGTGAGTAGTTGGTTGTTTTGTTGTCTCGATTTATTGAAAGCAAAATTGAGACAAGAAGTGTGTAGACTGACTCGAAAACCGAAGGACAGATACGGGCGGTACAAATTGTACTATTCAGTTGTTCTGGCAGTTCATATTATTCGTCAGTCGTTTCCAGTCTACCCTGTGATCAGTCGGTAGTTTTTTTTCAATCCAATCGTTCGGCGTATGTGTGTGCGTGTGCTCGCAAACGGTGGTGCTGGTTTTTTTAGAGTTAGACTGGTGCTTGTGGCTCTCTCCTGCGGACGCAACGAAACACACTAGTATTCAAATAGGAACGGTGTAATCGGTCAGGTGAGGGGGAATCGAGTGAGCGAGCAACACCGAACAGCGGGAGAGAAAGTTATTTCCGACTGTCATGATTGCCGGGGGGAGACGGGATGGAGATGGATGGCGTTTGATCGCAAACTTGGACAGGGAATATTTGAACAATTTGTTTACTTCGTGGCCGGCAGATACCGGGACATACCATCCAGGAGACCAAGTGATAGTTCGAGTGTCAATGATATAGGGACTTGTGGGACAGAGTGAAGCCGTTTGTTGAGCAGCATTGCGGGAAACGTCTTCAATTTAGGGATACCATGGATAAGACGCAGGAGACACGAAATCTTGTACCATAAAGACGAAAAACAAAACCAAAAATATTTCGAACCAAAAAAACGACTTGACGAAGAAGTGGGAACGTGCGGGGGAAGAGAGAAAGATAGACAAGACTCGATCAAGAGGTAAGACGAGAAACACCACATGAGAAACTAATTTAAACCCAATTGCGCACATCAAGAATATTACCTCCACCAGCTCACGCGAAGGGTTTACTGTTTGATTAAGGTGTAAGCACGTACAAGAAGAAATCGTAGATAATAGAACTAAACCATAAAAATGAGAAGGACGAAGAGAAGAGACGAAAAGGGAAGAGAAAATTACAGATGAGTCGGAACGAAACTACAAACTGCTGATAATAGTGATCAATCGGAACACGACATGCAACGCCGGCTATGAATACCAAAGGAATTCCGTCGATTCCCTTTTCCGAGTCAGGCATGAATGGAACGATCAGAATGAAATGCAGCTGGTCCTCTCGCGTGTATCTTAATAGCGTGATGGATGAGCAGCGGACACCTGAATAGCCTGGACCGCAGAAGCAGGAAGATTTTGATTGATACGCACATAGCGGGTTATTTTGTGATGCTGTCCGTATCTTTGGATTGCTTGACACTCATGACCGACTGCAAAAGAGAAAGCGAGAGTGAGCTAGGGTGGTCTCGAGTTAAATGCTCCGAAATAGAACGATCCACTGGAAGCAAGAGGCGGGTGATAAATCCAAGAATGTCGAAAAGTTTACCTTCTGAAAAGAAGACTAATTGGAGATTCGGGGAAAAGACATGTGGCGGCAAGAAGCAATAGCAGTTTCATAGTAGGAGAACATGGTAGCAACAGAAGGAATGGTTTCTTGAAGTGTCTACCGTCCATCTGCACAAACCGCCAGACAAATAGACCAAAAAAAAACAGAAGAGATAAAATGCAATAGTTTGTCTGTTGGTTTGGATAAAAAGAAAATACTGAATAATCCTGGGCAGGCAATATTTTTTTCATCTTCCAGAGCCTCCACATAGGTATCCACTTTTAACCCTTAGACAAATGGAGATAGACAGTGATAGGGGACGGTGATACGTTTTACATCTTCTCTTCTCAAAGCTCGATCAGCAGTCGTGATAGCACAAACAGCAGCATTATTGTCCGAAAAGTGATTGACCAACAAAAGTACACACAAGTCCGGTAGTAGAATAGATTGGTGAGAATGGGTGACGGTGGCAAGTGGACTATAGGGGCAATCAGGATAATCACTAGACTAGCCGAATACAGACATGGCTCGTTTATCTGACACCAGTGTTGTCTTGGGAGGACTAGTACCGAGTATAGGAAGACAACCATTCGCTGCCATCATATATGCATGTTTATGGTTTTCTATATGTATATCTATGCATAGATCTAGTAGCACCACTTAACAGCAGGACGTGGACAAAGTTTGGGCAAACAGACAACAACACATGCTAGTCGACGGAAATCTGGTAGCGGATGCGGAAATACACATCGGAGTTCAGCGTTCTCCGGCTGGTGCCACATCACAGCACCGATTAAACCGAGTGAAAACCAATAAGATTGTAATCAATAAGCGACTGATTACATGTTTTCAAACCAATGTTTATCGAACAATGTACTGGCGCTGGTGGTGGGCACTAAGCCCTAGAAGCGGCTCCCTCAACAGAATTCACATGGGGATGTCCGTCAACCAGTTCATCGTCCCCGTCTAGTTTCTTCGAGTCGTCTTCATCCGGAGCTAATTCGTCCAACGCTTCCAAAAAACGCAATGAATCAGCAAAGCCCAGGCCCAATTCACCTCGAAGACTTTGGGTAAAATATTCTGGAGCCCAAATGCGCAACCCAGCTAATTGGGATAGGAGTACTCCGTCGATGCCACCGGCCATTTGAACAGGTACGTGACCCAGACCGCGGAAACGAAGCCAAGTAGCAACGGTGCTGGTGGACCAGTTTCTCACTTCCGGTCGAATCACGTGACGCCAGGCGCTAGTGGCTATAGGTCTGGTCATGCCGGCTCCAACCATCCCAGCTGGATGCATGGAACCTGGAGGTGCCAGATGGTTCTGGAGTTTTGCAGCCAGTCCCAATGGAGTGGATCCGGACAAGCCATCTTCTCGTTTCATGGACAAACCGGAAGTGGTTCGACTTCCTGCAGTAGGATTGCTACCAATATGATTAAGCTGTACGTCAGTACCGGCCACAGCACCGATGCCGGTGTCTCCAGCGAGGCCCAAATGACGCTTGCTATCCAACGATGGGTGACGCTGTGCAGTAGCAGCCACTGCTGCAGCTTGAGCCGCAGCTGCCGAATCAGCACGCTTCTTCGCCTCAGCCACAAGTTCCTTTAATTGACTAATAAGAGTATCGTAACTGGCTTCGGGATCACGTTTGCCATTGAAATCGATCGGATGTCTTGTGGTCAGACGACTAAGCCAACCTGTGGGTTTGAGTTTGGGCTGCAGAACGATAGGCACGATCGGTTTCGGATTGGCATCGGTCGCAGTAGACATGAAGTACTCTGATTCCATGCGACAGCCTGGACTGAGACGATAAGCATCACTTAGACAAACCACAAGCACTGAACTTTGCTCCATAGCTTCCAACCACTGACTTTGCGCTCCTGTACTACAGGCGCACATGCTTAATCCGACAGCATTGGCCTCAGGTAATGCGATTGTTTCATTATTGCTAAACGGTAGATTAGCGACAGGAAGATTGGATTCCCGTAGACGATCGGCAATTCGACTCACGGCGAGACGATTCGACGGGGCAAAACTGAATAGAATCGGTCCACACTCAGTTGGCTCTTGACGCGTGGTGGATGTGGCACGAGTCAATTTCCACTGTGTGGCCTCCAATGCACGTAACATGGCCTTGGTGAGCTGTGCTGGAGCAGCTGGGTTAGCCAAAACTTCAGTTAGCCAAGTTTTTAGTTGAGTCTGTGCTGCCGAATTGGATCCACTGGAATCAAATGTCAGGTTCCACAAAATACGGATTGCTTCTTCTGCTTCCCGTAAAGAGACAGCACTGGGAGAGGCCAGTAAAGCTATCTCAACCAGATCTTTGAGAAGCCCAACAAATGTGGAGTTGTGATCTGTGTTCGTTGTTGCCCCGGGTCCGGTTGTACCATACGCCGTCTGGAGTAGACTGGATTTCACAGGATCATGTACGGAGAAAGCCGACAAAGCACCGAGTAGTTCGATTACTTGGAACCCATGACAACGACGTTTCTCAGACACACGAGCTGAGCTGATATAATTGAAGAGAACACGCGGTAAATCAATCCCACCGGACGATGTGTCTGTAACCAAATGGGTTTCGGATTCGGTAATGATATGTGCCAGACACAATGTGGATACGCATCGTAGAAACTCTTCTTCCCGTTGAGCCAAATGAAGTAGTGCTTGTCGTACAGAATCTGAAGCGAAATAGTGAGTGTTGCCAGGAACACGAGCAATATTGTGAATGATGGATAAGCTGGCCTTGATCAAATAGTACACATTCTTACTGCTGAGATTTTCTAGATAGGGCTGATGACCGATATTCAAATTCAACAGATTAGGCAATCCGGCGGTGGCCAAAGCGGTTGCGAATTCGGGCCAAGTGTCTGAGAAATTCCATGTTGTATTGTAGAAATAGAAGGAGGAGAACCAGATATCATCGTTTTTGAATACACCCATATTGTTCAATTTTTTCATCATTTTTGAAGCAAACGCTGGATATTCACAATTGGTCAAATGCTGAGCAAGTTCTGCGCGGTAGGCATGACAATCGAAATAGGCACGACTCAGTTGTTTTCCAGTCTCATACATCGATCGTAAATCAGACATATCCTCTAGACTACGGAATACTTCCATCACTTGATCCACGAACGCTCGTGCCTCTTCTAATGTGAATCCTTTGCGACATTGAGGAATTTCCACGGGACGTTTTGTGATAGGTTCTGGATGATCCATGATGAATGCACACTCACAAAAACGCGGAGACGTTTATTGGGACAGTGCTATGCGTGGAGTGTCAGGGTTAACCACATTGACAACTCCGAGAGGAATACAGGTTGGTGAGATGTTTTGATCTTCTCGTTTCGGTACGCGAATGATGCTTCAATGAGCAAAAACACTGAAGTAGTCTAAATGATCCAGACTGTGACGGTAATCGAACACGTTGGTGGGTTCGATGTATTGGCTGACAATCTGTAAGAAAAACAGAATGGAACAAGTCAAGAAAGTCGGATAGTGAAACAATAAAGACAAAATTACGCAAAAGTACTGCTGTGTAATCCTCTTCAACACTCTCCTGCAACAACTCTGATAGCCAATCAAATGCACGATATTCATAAATAGGCCTTAGAGAAAAACGAAAACAAATAATTTTAAAAACGGAGAGCACAAAATATATTTAGCCATGATCCATTTGGTTTGTGGTTAAACCGAGCAAGCACTCGTACTGCTTCTGATATGCACCGGATCGCTTGGTCACAATCGTGGCAACCAAAGAAACCTCATGCTTACGGTGCGTAATAGACTCCAGGTGGGTGTTTCATGTTTGTTACGATACCCATGCTGGCGCAGTGGTTTAATCGCTGTCACCGACGTGCTTTTGACCCTATGATCCGAGGTTCGAGCTCCGCAACCGCCACCCAACTTTGGTGATAGGAAGCTGTGCTGTCGTCCGGTTCCATAATACACCTAACTTATCGGGGCCTTATGTGATTCTCCACCCCAAGTCTTGGAACTTAGGTTGCCGCTTGAAATCAGTGAATAGCAGGTCTACATGAATATGGGGCTTTCCCGGTCTGCTGTTCGCAACACGAAAGTGTGTAATGAAAAAAGTACGTTATCTACACCGGGGAGTGAACTACCTTACCTTGTGCGCATAACAAATTTTGGTACAATCAATCCCTTACCGTGGAGTTGACCTTGCGATTCTAAATTTAAAAATCTTTGTATGCTTGTACACGTCCGTTCACAATAACTGATTAGCCACGTGTGCTATATATGTGTCTGTTTGTTTCAAGTCAGCGACTGAGTACATTAAACAAAATGTTAACATATCGCGACATTTGTTTTCTTTCTGTATTGATAGAACGAGTAAGATATTTTTGGTTCGGGGGAAACAGGGCAACGAAAATGCGTTGAAAATTATCCTGGTCCTTTAAAACTAACACTACTCTGTTTGATGCTTCTGAAACAAAATAATTCGTACCAATACTCAACAGAGCGTCAATGTATCACATCAAACTTCACAATACTGAATTATGTTGATTATCATCAAAGTTCCCAGGAAGAGACTGTGCAAAAGAGTTAAGACATCAGTGACGTTGAAAAAAAAGAAAATTCAAATCCGAGATCTCAACTGGCGTCATTCTATCGTCCTCAAATCTCAGTGCCCATGTGCAATGGTGAAGATCTTTATCCATAGAGAAAATTGAAACACCGCTTGTACGATACTATACCGGCTTGAGGCATATTCACTGTAGTCCACCGTGGTGTTGAAGAGTTTTGTCGCCTAAGCCTAAACGCACAAGTTGTCCAAATTGGGTTTCTGATTCCTGTGTTACAGTGGCCGACTCTAACACAGTATTTCTTCCTCATGCTGAGACATCTCGAGCAGTAGCGCTGAATGAATCTGTGCTAAAATGGCCCTTAGTCTTAATCCGTTTTATACACCCAAAAGCACGCACGTATGTATTGATATACATACATATATGACCTAAATGCCTTTCGTTTGTATCTATGATCCACTACGCCGGTAATCCGTTGACAGCAATCCGGTCTGTTGCAGTACAACTTAGTCGATAGCATTTTTGTCCATTTGAGAATACCATTCATTTACTCTGGAAATACAATATCATCAAGAGAGAAACAGAAAAGCCATGTGGAAAATGTAATCAGAGGTTCAGTGCAAGAAACAATAGCATTAGACAGTTTGATCTACATACGACAAGCACACACAAAGGAGGTATCGAAAAGCAAAAACGCTTCAAATAATCAGGTTTATATTTGATTTTCGTGTTGAAAGACACGACGTACATCTGTGACGGACCTAATGTGATGATGTGGGGGTGTGGGGTATGGTGTTCATTGGAAAAGCAGAGTCAACCGGAGCAAGGCTAAAAGATAAAAGCGCAGAGGATATTTGATTCCTCAGAAGACAAAGCACAACTGAATCACAGCCACTTGAGAAGTGTGTGCGTGGTTCCGTGCCGTTTCGGGCAAATCAAGCACACGAAGACGAAGCAATCCGTGCATCGTGCATGCACACACACACACACACACACACACACACACACACACACCGCAAACGGAGAGAGGCGGCTGAATCAAATTTCGCCGAGATTAAGTCTACTGGTGAGCAGATTGCGTTGAATATCGCATTTCTAATCTGCAAACAGGTCCAACCCAATCTGGCCAAGTGTTATATATCGATTCCCTCTGAAAAATGAAGGAAGATAAAAATGTTCAATACGAGTATGGAAAACCACATGTAACGTACAATGTAGTACCTATGTGACACAATGAAGGTGAATAATGCATAATTAGGTACAGTAGTCATTGACTGGTACTAGATGATCAGGAGAAAAGTACTGCAGGAAAATAAGTGGAAATATCTTTCACGGAAGAGGCACATTATGCTTGCGTACACTCTTGTATGAAGAATAGCAATGAAGGGGCGAACCCCATAGTCACGAGAACCTACTACCTATTCACTCATGGGAACCAGTATTCTAAGT